TTTATTGACAGGAAAACCCATCAATAAGCATGCTGCCACCCCATTATGCCACTTTTGTGAAAAAATGCTCCCATGACAGTCCTCATATTGGGCAGTCATGTGGTGTCAGTCTCCTTTTCCACTCTCCCACTCTCCCTCACTATTCCCAAACAGTCTCTTTTCTTTCTTTTTTTCTCTCATTTTCTTTTCTTTTCTTCTTCATTCTTTAAACTAAATCACATTCTCATAATTCTGGAATTGCGTTATAAATAAAAAAATGAAAAATGAAAGAATGAAAGGCATGCTCAATAGGGCATAGGGCAGGAAGGCAGGATAAAGGGGGAATGTAGAAGAAAGTATGTGGGACTGTCAACAGCAGCAAAAGCCCATTTGGAGCTATTGAAGATATGTGCAAAACCTCAAAAACCAATGTGAAACTGAGGCTCATGTAATAAAGTCTCAAATTTTGCCAAGAAAAACCTATGATAGGATTGCCATAGGTCAAACAATACTCGGAAGGCACACAGCAACATACATAAGGTGGTTGTGTTTTCTGTTTTACAAAGCACAGCCCTCTACTTGAAGGACTCTTCATTTTGAAAAGCTGCCAAACCCAAATCTATTTGAAATAATAAGAACCACAAAGAGAGAGAGCAGGAGTCTAGAATTTGCCCATCAGCATTTAGCACCTGGACAACGAACTGAGAAGACAACACAAGTCATCAGTCTTCTCAAAACAAGGGATTATGAACTGCATTTCTATTTAATATAGTAAGTCTTTCTAACTATGCGTCTAGACATATTAACATGCATATGTAAATCTTATGCAAATTTCTGTTTCCCTTTGTCCAGTGGGGAGGTGACACAGAAATGGCCAGCCTACTAGCATGACTTCTTTCTTCTTTCCAACTCAGCTTTTGATTTCATCTTTGGATGCCAACTAGCCTTCCAAATTATGTGCTGTAGCATATTAATATAAGTAGAACCTGGTACCAAAGGGTTCCTCACCTCAAGAGTTTGGGAGTTAATAATTACAATTAATTAATCACAAGTAATTCTTTTTTTCCATGAATTAAGATACTTTATTTATATAGGTTCTAAAGTTTGTTGCTCTTGCCATTATTCAACCCTATGAATAATAGACCTCCAAGTCACTGTGTTATCAACAGTCCTGTTCAGGTCTTGCACACTCAAGGCTATGGAATCTATCCATCTGTAATGCAGGCTTTCTCTTTTCGTACTTCCTTCTACATTAGCAAATATTGTCTTTTCTAAGGAGTTGTGTTATCTTATGACATGTCCAAAGTTGACAGTCTCAGTTTAGTCATCGTGGCTTCTGGGGAAAGTTCAGGCTTGATTTGCTCTAGGATCCATTTATTTATCTTTTTGGCAGTCCGTGGTATCCATAGAATGTTCCTCCTATACATGTAAATGAGTTGGTTCTCTTTGTATTATCTTTCTTCTAAGTAGTGCACTGATAACTGGATGACTTGATGATCCCTCATCCATAGAGTCCACAAGTCAAAGTCAACTTGATGACAAACTACAATTAGTAAAAAAGGAAAAGTGCTCAAAATGCATGCAGATATGTTTGTGAAAACTTTTTTAAAAAAAAAGTGTCTACAAAAGAGACCCAGTGTGGCATAGTGGTTTCAGTGCTGGACTGTGACTCTAGTGACCAGGGTTTGATTCCCTGCTCAGGCAGTGAAACCCATTTTGTGACCTTGAGCAAGTCACATGCTCGCAACCTCAAGGGAAGGCAATGGCAAACCTCCTCTGAACAAATCTTGCCAAGAAAACCCCATGATAGGTTCACCTTAGGGTCGCCATAAGTCGGAAACAGCTTGAAGGCAAACAACACCGATAAAAACTTTCAGGCAAGGCTGAGCTTTAAAGTGGGAAGATGAGAAATTGAAATGGACAGATGCATCCCTGCCTCCTTGACACCCCCTTCCTCCCCGCTTTCCTATCCATGCACTATTTTCTTCTTCCTCCCCATCCTCTGTCACTCACAGGCAGTGTACCCCTCCTTCCTTTGCTCTGTGGGGGATAACCATTAGCTCCACAGCCTGCTTTCTTGAAGGCTCTGTGTTACATTTGTTGGGAGATTTATGACCTGAGCAGCTTTGAAGTAGGCCTCCGATAACCATCAGGGGTATTTTGGTTTCATGACACAGTCAGTCAGCAAGCTCTGAATGAAAAGGTTTATGGGCAGCTATGTTTCCTGGAGCTATCAAGATGGCCAACATCACATTCCAAGGAAAGGGTGGCAATTAAAGTACACAGGCATTTTTTTTTTTGAAAAACAGCTTTGTGGTAGCTTTAGCTTTAAGAGTGAGGACAGAAGCAGAAGTGAGGGGGGAGGATTTCCAGTTAAATCAGAAGCAGCTTTCAAATAAGAGGACAGAAAGGGAGTGCTTTGTAGAATTTGTCCAAGGATTAGTCCAGGGAAAAAGGGAGTCTGAGACTTTCCCCTTTTCTCACTTGGCTGTTGTTCCCTATTAGGCTACTTAGGTTCAGCTCGGGAAAAGGATAATAAAAAGCAGGCGATGAAACATCCACAACAAAAAGAGGCAAGGAAAGGGACAAGTGGTAATGTCACTTCAGAAAAGATTGTACTTTTATTTGTGATCTATTTATTGGAGATGTTTCTGTATCACTCCCCAGCCCACAAGGGATCCCAAGGCGATGAGCAAATGAAAACAATCAAAACAATAGAATTTTTTAAAAAAATCTTAAAGCATGTTAAAATACTCTTTTAAAACTTTTCAAGCAATCTAAAAGCAATCCTAAAATGCAATTTTAGAAGAGTTAAAATAGAGCAATGTCAAACATTAAAGGCCACATGGATCAGCATTGCTTTGACTGCCTGCTGGAAGCTTAAAAGAGACAGGACCAAACTAACTTCTTTGGGTAGAGAGTTCAATAATCAGAGTGCTACTACAGAGAAAGCCCTGTTACATGTACCCACAAGATTCACTGGTTGCAGGACATGAAACAAGGCCTCCTCTGAAGATCTCAAATTTGGAGCAGGCTCATATGGGAGGAGGCAGTTTTTCAGATATTTAGGGATTGGCAGAGAGCCAGCATGGCATAGTGGTTTGTGTGTTGGAATATGACTCTGGATAGCAAAGTTCAGTTCCCAGCTCACCCATGAAGCCACTTGGGCTACTCACACTCTCTCAGCTTCAGAGGAGGGCAATGGCAATAACCTTAGGGTCACCATAAGTCAAAAATGGCATGAAGGCACACAACAGCAACAGATCCAAATTAACACCTCAAATTGAGCTTGGAAGCAAATGGGAAACCATAGCAGTTCTTGTAAGACTGGTGTTATATGGTCTCTAAAATCCACACCTGTCATTCTGCTGTATTTTGTACTAGCTGGAATCTTCAAACTCTTCTCACCTTTTCTCAGGGAGAGACAGGTGATAGGCATGGCTCCCTCCTCCTTTTATCCTTATAACAGACCTACAAGTTAGTTTAGGCAAAGAGAAACAGAGTAACTAGTACTTTCTTTTACAGCCCTGAAAACCTGAGGACCCAAATACTTCAAGGCACACCTGTTATCTCTTGACAGATGCCATGTGATAATAAAATGAAGGGAGAGGACCACAAGCATGTTTATTAGAGGAAAGGTGGAATTATAATTGAAATGACTACTAACTTCAAAATAGATCTGTCTATCATACCTGCATATTTTATAACATTCATGCATTTCTAAACATGTATGTACTATAAACAGCTCCCAGATCTTTTCACCAACTTGAACCAGACTCAGCTTCACTCAGAAACTGGTGAATTGAGAAATGTGACCTTATATCAAGGAGGTTGTCTTGAATGTCTTTCAAAGATCAAATCTGCTAAGGTTTATGGATTTAGATTGTTCTCTTTCTTTATCTCACTGAATCAATGTGGGTTACAAATGATATACTTGGATGTTCTTGTGATACTGAAATCACTGGTCAATCTATGGTAGCACGAGATATAGTGACTTGGGCATGAAAGAATCTGAACATTCATTTGATCCTAGATCTTTCTTGATGCACCTATTGACTTTCATCCTTACAGTATTATTGGAGTGCAGTTGCATTGTCATTGATGATTGGAGATTATGGGAGGTCTAGCCCAACAACATCTGCAGAGCCATGACTTGTAACTACCCAGTCTAGGCACTGCAGCACACTGCCTAAAGCTTGGTGTGCTGATTTTGGGAAGTGGTTACAATACACATCATCCATTCTTAGTACTGATTCTAGCTGAAAAAGGTTTTGTTTTGTTTTTTCTCATCAGCGTTAAAAATGTTGAAATTCACCTTCTGAAATTATATTCATCCAAATTTCTCCATGTGTTTTGGACTCAGGAGGGAAAAGACCACAGGTCAAGAGGTACATAAATAAGTTTGATGAGATGAGTCCTTGCAAATTTTGGTATGCACTGATCTGATAATATGCAATGTCTGAACTACCATAAATAAATAAATAAATAAATAAATAAATAACCAGGGTAAGCATTCCTAGTTACAACTGGATTTCAAATTTCACCCAGTGTTAGATATCAGTTCAAAAATATGTGTCAAAAGCAGAAATGGGTGAGAATTTCAATTCATTTTGTTTCAGAAGAAGACAGAGAAGAAGAAGAAGAAGAAGAAGAAGAAGAAGAAGAAGAAG